CTGGTACTCTTTCCACTGCAGTGCCATGTAGCTGCCCAATGAATTATTAGCTATCCTTTAAAACTCATAATTTGTTAAAAGGGAGGTCTTCTACTCAGAGTTTGGGGATAGTAGGAAGCTGAGTTAGTGATAAGGCATTTTTTTTTTGGTGAGGCAATCAGGGTTAAGTGACTTGCCCAAGGTCACACAGCTAGTAAGTGTTAAGTGTCTCAGGCCAGATTTGAACTCAGGTCTTCCTAACTCCAAGGCTAGAGCTCTATCCACTGCATCACCTAGTTGCCCCTTGATAACACATTTTTGAAAAGCACCAATAAGACACTTTAAAAATACACTGAAGGGGGAAAAAAGAACACAAATAGAATTCTGCTACTACCTTGACAAACTGTATACATGTAGCATTCCTTCTGGGCTACCTCCCAAGTCCACACTCCTAGGTTTGTCCCCAGAAGAATGACTACTCTCATATGTTGCAAAGGATACTCTAGGGTTTCACATTTTTAAACCTATAGCTCATGAGCCCCCACTGGTGAGCTTCTCTTCAATAGGCAGCCAGAAGATACAATTAGCTCAAAGCAAAAACATTTACTAAGATGGCATAATTAGAACAATAGCTATGAGACATTTTCTTTCCCTGCCCTTTTCCCTTCCAAATCTGAAACATACTTGCCCACAAGAACACAAAGCATTAGAGACAAGAGTGGGCAACAACTTAGATTACAACTAGGATCCAATTAGCGTGAATAATGAAACCTGGAAAGTGATCATATATTTGAATTTGCACTTTTCAAAGTTACAATTATGTAAAATATGGTAATTGGCTCCAGACCAATGGGGAAATATGCAGGGTGAATTCAAATAATGAGACTACTTTAAAGGATTCATCATTCATACTAATTGTGACCTAGCTGTATGTTGACTATGAAGCACACATGCTGGGAACACATGTGATCAAGTAATTTATATGTGGCTATAGCAAGCTGATGTCTCTTTTGCTCTCAGTGTCCTCATGCTGCTCCACCCTAGATGAAGCATCTCTGCTGGAAGGGTCATTCCACCAGCCTCCCTGAGCCTGCTCTTTACAGCTCGACTACCCACTAGGGCCAGTCTTCTTTTGAACTGATGGTTGGCTCTCTTCTCTGCTTCCAGAGGTCACACTCCTCGAAGCTTCTCCTTGTCTTGAACTCCATAACTGTTCAAGTCTCAAATTCTTTGCCTGGTGCTCAGGGGTGACATGTTTGTTTTGTAAGGGCTATTGGGGCAATGGTCAATCTTTGACCTTGCTCATTGACAGGTTCCTTTCTAATTTCATCAGGGAGAATTTCTTACTTTGTAAAGGGATAACAGGATACGGATATGTTTTTGTATTTCATTAACATATTAATACCTGGTTTCTTCCTTCCCCCAAATACATGGTTATAGGCATTAGGCAAACAGACATCACATTACAAAATTCTCATAGGTTACCACTTGTCTGGGTGCTTCCAAAGGCCTGCCACAATCAAAGAAGGGAAAGGAAAAAGAAAATCAAAGTTTCCTTCTCTGAGGGAAAGTCCGGTCTTAATAAGGCTTCTAATAGCAATAGGGATCGATTGGAAGTCATTCCTGCACCTTCAGGGTCACACAGCTAATAAGTGTCTGAGGCTGGATTTGAACTCATGAAGATGTGTCTTCCTGATTCTATGCACTGTGTCACCTAGCTGCTCCTCATTTCTGAGTGTAATTGGGTAACAGGAATAAATGCTATCTGTGATTAACAGAGAGAGGGAGCTTGTGGATGAAGAAATTATCCTACCCATGTAGGACAGCACCTTCTCTGAAGCTGCCATTTTTAGAATTGCTTAGATCACTGAGAAGGCAAATGTCTTATACAGAGTAAATGGCAAAAACAGTCTATTTCAAGTCAGACTACCTGGGTTCAAATCCTGCCTCAGGTACCTATTACCTGGGTCATCTTGGGCAACTCACTTCCCTTCCCTATTGGCCTCAGTTTCCTCAACTGTAAAATTATGAGATTGGACTAGCTCACCTTCTAAGGTCCCTTTTAGCTCTAAATCTATGATCCAATTCCCCCTCTGCTGATACTGCTCATGATTTCTTCATAAATTAGAAGGTCTTGGAGATCTGGGGGACTGAAATAGGTGGTGAACCTCCTTTGTTATGATGTGCTTTAATTAGGGCATGCCTAAAAATCCCAATTTGATGCAATAATAGAATACAAATTTATTGAAAAAGCTTGGTCTAAAATCACTTGTAAAGAGAGGGTGAATTGGTTTTCTTTGCCTTCTGTGCAATTTTAAAAGCTCCCTGTTTATTATATAAATACCCAAATTAACTACAAAAGACATATGAAGAAAGATGCTATCTACATCCAGAGAAAGAATTGGTAAACAGAAGTATATATAGAATTATTTTACATATATATACATATAAATATACATACATACACAGACAAATATACACACACACATACATACATACATACATATACACCTCACACACACACACACACACACACACACACACACACACACACACACACATATATACATAAATATGTACCTACTTGTATCTAATGGTAGTCATCTCTACGGAAGGGTTAGGGAAGAAAAAAATAAATTTACATGATAATATTGTTGTATATTTGAAATGAATAGCAAGTTGTGTATAAAAGATTTGCAGTTTCATGTACAATCATCTTTTTTTAGTGCACCATGTTATATAGAAATTCTTGTTTTATTCCATAAATCAAAAATAAAATAAAATTTAAAAAATGAAAGCTTTCTGTCCCTCTTCTTTGAATGGATGAACTGTAAGCCCAGGGAATCCCATGTCTGGCACAGAGAAGTACTCCCATACCCAATTTAATGCCTGGTATTTGAAGGAGGCAGGTTTCTTATGGGATGCGTATTCAAGCATGTCCCTTGACTCCATGCTGCCCTCTGCTGGCTGGCACAGGAAACGAACAATGCTCCTGGTAACTCAGAAAACAGAAGGATGCTCATGGCATTCTTCTCTTGTCCCATCCCTGCCCCCTCCCCCTTTTTTTAGATCTGACCTGAGTCTATGGGGAAAAGACTTTTGTTATGTCAGGAAAGAAGAGATGAGGACCGAGAGCATTCCAGGCCCAGCCTCGAGAGATGACAGTGTCTTGTTTGATGGCCAGGCAGAGGCCAGTTTCATGGGTCACCTAGTACATTGGAGAGGGTAGAAGGCAGAAGAAGACTGGACAGTTCAGGAGGAGGAGGGCAGGTTAGCAAGAGATTTGCAGCCAAACAGGATGTTAATGGAATTTCATGCCATATGAGGACTGGCTGGAGGAGCTAGAGATGTTTTACGTGGAAAAGAGACTTGATAAGCGGATGGAATGGGGGTGGGAGAATGTCTTTAAACATCTGAAAGAGGCATGTAGAAGGGGGATTAGATTCATTTTTATTGGCCTCAGTTTTGTCTCACAATAAGAAAAGATTTCCTAACAATCGATGCTCTCCCAAGTACAATGGGCTACCTCAGGAAATTAGTAAGCATTTATTAAGTGCCTACTGTGTATGCCAGGCACTGTGCTGAGCCCTTTACAAATATTATCTCATTTGATCCTCCCAATAACCCTGGGAGGCAGGTGCTGTTACTATCCCCATTTTGCAGTTGAGAGAACTGAGGCAGATAGTTTGGGCAGGGTCACTCAGCTGAATTTGAACTCAGGTCTTCCTGAATCCAGATCTAGTTGTCTTATCCACTGTACTGCCTAGCTGCCTCAGGTCTGTGACATTGGAGGCCACAGTGATCACAGGACCACAGATTTAGAGCTGGAAGGGACTTCTGAGTCCTTCAGGCCAACCCTTTCCCTCTCTAGATGAAAGAAACGGAGGTCTCTAAAGGTTAATTGACTTGTCCAAGGTCACAGAGGCAGGATCACAGACTTAGGGCCAGCAAGGACCTCACAGGACATCTTGTCCAACCCCTCATTTTACAGATGATGAGGTGAGGCCCAAAGAGGTTGAGAAACTTGCCAAAGGTCACACAGATTCTAAGTGCCTTCTTTTGTAGCACCTTCTCTCTGTTAATTATTTCCTATTTATCCCATGTATATCTTCCTTGTACACACACACACACACACACCCAAGGAGCCCACACTAATGCGGGAGATATCAAGCAAACATATATAATTATGACATAATAATATTATTATTATGTAATATATATGACAATATATAATTAGATAGTGATATACATTATACAATATAATATTTTATAATATGTTATTTTATTATTATATTCTATTATAACATATATTGTTATTGTTGAATTATGTCCGACTCTTCGCAACCCCATCTGAGGTTTCCTTGGCAAAGATATGAGAATGGTTTGCCCTTTCTTTCTGCAGCTCATTTTACAGATGAGGAAACTGAGGCAAAAACGGTTAAATGACTTGCCCAGGGTCACACAGCTAGTAAGTGTCCGAGGCTAGACTTGAATGCATTTAGATGAATCTTACTGATTGACACTCTATCCACTGTGGTGCCACCTAGCTGCCCAGTATAGCCTTATAATAATATATTAATATAATATTTATCTCTGCTTGTGTGTCCCCCATTAGATTGTGAGCTCCTTGAGGACAGGGCCTATCTTTTGCGTCTTTTTGGATTCCCAGTGTCTATAACACAGCAGGCGCTTAATAAATGCTTACTGATTGACTGAAGTGGCAAAGTCAGGATGTGAAGGCCAGTCCTTTGCTTCCAAGCCCAGCATTCTTTCCGTTGTCCTGTCAGGATTTGGACCCAGGCCTTCGGACCTCATACCCACTGGTGTTTGCACACAGCACACTGCTTCTCTAATGCAGAGGAAATCTCTGTTAAGGTCTTCTGCATTCTGAGAACTGTTCCCTGAATGGAGGCTGTTGCCTGGGTAATCTTAGCTCCCAGATGCAAGAAATCGGGTGGATTTCCAGGTTACTGGATTCTGCAAGATGTGAATTTGGGGAGACCGCTGGCTTGGGCACTGACCTGCTACTCCTACTTGATGGGTGGCATAGCCTGGCAAGCGGCTGGGCCCTTCCCCAAGCCACAGGGTCATCAGAGATGCATCGGCCTCTGCATGGTGAAAGCGAAGGCCCAGGGAAGCCGCTGGGCTTATAAACTGGCTGTGGAAGATGGGGACGTGCAGCCAGACGGCTATTCTGCCCTCTGCTCGCCATTGCTGGATTGAGGCTGCAATTGAGAAGGATGAAACAAAAGCATTTTTAAAAAAATTGTTTTTATTATCTTTTTTTTTCACATCGCCCAAAGCCTCCTTTCCCCCTTTCCCCTCCCAGAATGCATCTCTCTCTCTCTTTCTCTCTTTTTTTGGGGGGGGCAAGGCAACCGGGGTTAAGTGACTTACCCAGAGTCACAGGGCTAGCAATTGTTATGTGTCTGAGGCTGGATTTGAACTCAGGTCCTCCTGACTCTAGGGCCCGTGCTTTATCCCCTGTGCCACCTAGCTGCCTGTAAATTTTGTTATTTTTGCATCATCTGTGAGGCAAGGAGGACTTGGCTCTAAGACAATTTTAAGTAATATTTATAGGAAGACCCGGGCAGCTAGATGGTACAGTGGATAGAGTGCTGGGTCTGGAATCAGGAAAACCTGAGTTCAAATTTGGCTTCAGACACTTACTGGCTGTGTGACCCTGGGCAAGTCATTTCACCCTGTTTGCTGACTCAGTTTCCTTATCTGTAAAAATGAGCTGGAAATAGCAAACCACACCAGTATCTTTGCCAAGAAAACCCTGAAAGGGTCATGAAGAGTCAGAACAACAAAAACAAGATTTGTGACAGCTCCTTACTTCCTCAGGGACCCTGGTAAGTCCCTTCCCCCTGTTGGCCCTCAGTCTTCTCATCTGTAAAGTCTGAGGTGGAGCCATAAAGTTCATCTCCATCTCAAGAAAGGGGTCTAGAAAGGCATCTCACTTCCCACCAAGCTGTGCTCATCTTGCACTTCCTGGATTTCCCCACCACTCCCCTCCCTCCCTCCATCGCCCCACACTTTCAACTTTCTTTTGTGTCTTGTCTCCCCACGAGATTGTAAGCTCCTTGAGGGCAGGGATCGTGCTTCTTTTTGTATCTGTAGCTTTGCACAGTGCCTGGCATAGAGTAGGTGCCTAATAAATGTTTATAGACTACTGACTATCACCATGATCTCTAAGGTCCCTTTTAGCTTTTCTTGCTAGGATCCTTGAGGCTAGGGCATAATGAATTTCTTGGTTATCTTCTACATGCCCTGTCCACACAACAAAAGTGTGGAAGCATATTAAAAACCCTCTTTTTTTAGTTTCTCTAGAAATACTAACAAACACTTTTCTCTTAAGTCCTAGTTCTAGGTTCCAAGGAAAAGCAAGCCCTTGGAAAGGTGGGTGACAGGACAAGCAGACCTTTCATTAAGTGAATAGATTAAAAGGTAATCTTTTCAATTTCTCCAGGAAGGGATTACACCAGGGTCTGCCCCTAGGGAAATAGCTCCTCCACAAGTCCATAGGAGGCACCCTCCTATTTAATCCAATCTGAGATAGAGATCTCTGGGAGGGATCTCTTTGATTCCCCAAGAGATGGGGTCTTGGAGGAATGGGCCCTTACAAGGTTGCTCCATTTCTGGAATGTCAACCCAGAGCTGCATTGTTATGTACTGTGACATTCTTCCTTCTGTTTCCTATATTATCAGAAATCTTTTGAGGGCATGTTGGAAGGCATGGAAGACTGTGCTTGTCTGAACATATCTTTCTCCAAGTTAGAAATGACATACATAACACATATCTAATATATTATTATGTTATTAATAGAATTATAAATTAATATAATCATTATTTTTAATATAATACATTGGAACAGTTTAATATAATGAAATATGATGTTTTATCACATATTATACACAATTATATATTGAATTACATCATGTAATATTGTATATGACATGTGATATACTATATTATAGACCAATATAATCCCATGTTGCTGTTGTTGAGTTACGACTCTTCGTGACCCCATCTAGGCTTTTCTTGGCCAAAGTGGAATGGTTTGCCCTTTCCTTCTCCAGCTCATTTTACAGATGAGGAAACTGAGGCAAATGGGGTTAAGTGACTTGCCCAGCATCACAGAGCTACTAAATATCTAAGGCCAGATTTGAAGTCAGGAAGATGATTAATTATAAGTATTATTAATTAGTATTTTATGGTATTAGACTATGATATTAGTAGGTGGGGCAAACTTGTTAAGAATGCTCAACCTAAGGTCTCCTAGTTAGTGGAGATGCACCAGCCCCTTCTGCTACCTGGGAAATGCAGATATAAAAAAGGGCTGAAGGGGTAGAGTGCATTTATGACTACATATAAAGTATTAGCAAGTTGTGTGGCGTTTAGTGTAGATAAGGATTTGGAGACAGAAGATCTGGGTTCGAATTCTGCTTCTGTTAATATCCATGTGACCTTGGACAAACCCCTCCCCCCAGGTCACACTCTGTTGATCTGCCCAAAAAGAGGGATGGATGTCTCCCTAGCTTCCCTCCAGCTCTGAGCCTGTGCTTTCCTTATGATAAAAACAACACAGGTCTCTGGTTAATTTAGAATTTGTAATGGGAGAGGGTGGTGTGAGGTAGGGAAGAGGGATAAAGGGAAGAAAGGAGAAGGGGAGGGGAGAGGAGAAATTGGAGCTTTGGAGGCAGGAAGACCTGGGTGTATCCCCACCTTTGACACAAACTGGCTGTGTGATCCTGGGCCAGTCACTGTTAAGCTCTCAGTAATCTAGGGAACACTCTAAGATTTTAAACTGAAGAGAAGGTTCTGAGCTGCACAGGCAGAAGAAATTACTTGCCTCAGAAACCTAGGGTCCAGTTTTGATTCCTACTGGGAAAGTAACCAAGAGAAATAAAACGTTTCAGATAAAGCTTTGAAGCAATACCAAAATCCTCTGGGAAGGATGAACGAAGGGGACCTTGGGACCCCCTACAATTGGCTGTCTGGCCTGGGGCTGCTTCCCAGCCCAGCCAAGGGTTCCCCCGCCCAAGCAGTGTTTGCAAAGCAATTTACATTTGTTATTTGGTTGAGTCTCACAACTATCCCTTCAGGGTGCACTCCTGACTCCTGGACTTTCCCCACAAAGTCTCAGAAATGCCCCTCTTTGGTTACTCCAGTCCAGAACTTCACACCCCACTTGAGTCCCCACTGCCCCTTCAGCTTCTCCCTCTGATTGGCTGGTTCCTTCCAGACCTCCATTTAAAAGAGCCCAGGCCACCCATGCCTTCATACCTCTCTCTAGGCTGCCCTCCTGACTCTCCTGTATTTTCTGTACTCTACCCCCTGCCTGGTACCATCTTCTTTACCCACTTTCCTCTTTTCAGCTCTCGTTTATATGTGGTCTTCCCACATTAGAATGTAAGGTCTTGGAGGGCCCGAACTGTCTGCTTTTTTTTTTTTAACGTATTCCTAGTCCTGAACACTTAGTAATTGCTTAACAAAGGCCTGTTGACCACTCCAGGAAGCATTTTACAAATGAGGAAACTGAGGCACAGAGGTTTTTTTTTATGGTGACTTTCTCATGGTCCCCCAGCTAGTGTGTGAGGTAGAATTTGAACCTGGTCTTCCTGGGTCAGCGTTCTGTTCGCTGCACCACCTAGGTGCCCCCCAATAACCAGGTTCACGGGTGCTTAAAGCTCAATCGGGAAGGCTGAACAACAGGCTCTCTTCAGTTGCACCTGAGGTACACCAAGCAGGACCGTGGTGACGTGGGCCATCCCACCGGCTTTAAAGCTTCCGTGCAAAAACTCAGAAGATCAGAGTTCAAAGACTGGCTCAGCAACTTCCGGGTGAGACTTGGGTTAGGGTAAGCATCCTGACAATCCTTGCCAAGTTCTCCTTAGTGCTTTCAGGATTGCAAAGCGAGGAGCACTCTGGACATCTCGTTTGATGCCCCCTAAAAGGCCCCGCCGGGTTAGCCCGACTGCATTTTGTGTGGTAGAGACGAAGGCCAATAAATGCCCGTTGTCCAGATGGGGAGAATGAGGCCAGGAGTGCTAACCCAGGCTGAGCCCGGACAGGACCCAGTCTCTGCACATGGGGGGCCGGTTGGGGAGGGGGCGGCGCACTTGCCCTGGAGCCAAGTCCGGAAGGTGGCCGGGTCCACGCTGTCCGCAGGCTGGAGCTGGCCCAAGCGCACTGTAACGCCCCCGAAGCGGTCGACCTCGCCTCGCAGGCCGCCGGGGCCGGGGCTGGGGCTGCTGGACAGCGCGCGGGCGGCCTCCTGCAACTGTAGCAACTGCAACTGTAGCAGCGGCCCCCGCCTCCCCTGTAACAGGCCCCGCAGAAGCTGCAACTGTAGCAGCGGCCGCCTGCTCCACGGTAACAGACCCGGCCACATCCCGCCTGCAGCCCCGGAACCCTTCCCGGTGCACCGGAGGGGGCGGGGCCGGGGCGGGCCGTAGGTCTCCGAACATCAGCGCCGCCCGGGCGCCAGTGCCAGCCCCAGCCCCAGCCTCACCCGGACCTGCTCAAAGACCCAGGGGCTCCGAGAGCAGGCCGCACCCCAGTGCCCTTTGGAGACTCCAGCAGGGAAGGAAGAGGCCTGGCTCGCAATCCTGGCCTTCGTTTCCTCCTTTGTAACATGACCACGGCATTACTGGGCCCCGAGCTAACCTTCCTACTCCCCACCCTCTGCCCCCAGGACGTCGGTACAATCCCAGGAGGCCTGATTACGTCCCTATAATGATGTAGGGTGCAGGCTAGCTCCTGACGCCGGCCGGGGAAGACGCAGCGCGGCCACAGTCCCTGCCTCAGGAGCGTGCTTGTAAGGCTCGGGTAGGCTCCGGGCTCCGAGGATTTCGGCGGGGCGGGGCGGGTTGGGGGCGGAGTCGCGGCAACCTCTGCCCAGGAAGTTTTTCTCTGCGCTCACGTTGTGCGGGCGGCCCGGGCTCCTCCTGCCCCGGTGCCGAGCCTTGTCTGCCGGCATGTCCTCCAAGAAAAGCAGAGCGCGGCGGAGTCAGGACGCCGGCAGCGGCTCCCCCGCCGCCTCTCCCGGGCCCTCGCCCGCGGGCACGCCCGGCCCTGGCCCCGACCCCGGGGCCGGCTGCCTGGTCGTGGTGGATTTGGTGGAAAGAGGTATTGGCCGGAGGGGGTGGGGGCGGGGGCTGCGAGCACGTGCATGCTGCTGGGAGAACCTGCAAAGCTTGGGAGGGGGAGCCCGGGGTGGGGGGCGCGCGGCCACCCCGTCTGCAGCCAGAGAAGCTGGCATCTGCTGCTGGCTCAGCCCTTTCCCAGCCCCGCCCCTCCGTGGGCCTCAGTTTCCTTTTCTGCCAAATGCGGGTGGCACTTAGAAGGGCCCTGTCCGACCCATGCCCGTAAACTGATATGTGAGTGAATGAAAAGAGAGAAAAACATTAAGGAGGACTCTTAACTGTGTGTCACGTTGGGGCTGGACGCTGTACCTGTGATTTCATCCATAGAGGGAACCCTTGATGAAGAAACGTCCTATCAGCACCTTCTCTGCAGCTCACGGCCTTAGAGCGTTGCCTAGAGACTTTCCCCAGGTCCCACAGCCTGGATGGGTCCTAGGTGGAACTTGAACTCAGGTCTCCCAGGCCCTGAGGCCAGCTCTGTAGCCTCCAGCGCTGGGGATACCCATAGGAAGGGGAGGCCCTTGTTAATATGGGTTGGCACATACTTTTCCTCCCAGTGAACCCACAGAATAGGTGCTACACGGTGGTTTGCTTTTTCCAGTCTCTTGTTCTGAGGACCTCGAGGTGGGAGACCCCAGCCTCCTGGGTTTCCTTATCTGGATAGGCCAGGGGCCTTGAACCTGTGGTTCAGGAGTGGGATCCCAAGGTGTTTGTGATGCCAGGTAGGCAGTATTACCGACTTAGGGTGGTGTCCAAGGATCCAAGGTTCACTCATGTATTTAGAACCCAGAGGCAGCTTTGAGGTCCTCTCATCCACCTTCCTTGATTTACAGTTGGGGAAACTGAGGCCCAGAGAGGTACTATGCCTTACCCAAGTTTACATTGCTAGTAAGTGGTTAGAGTCAGGATTGAAACCCAGTTCTCTTGCCTGCAGATTCTTTGATGTAAGGTCAGTTGGTCAATAAGCATTTGTTAGGGGCCTGCTATGTGCCAGGCAGGTGCCAGCTCAGTGGCTCTGTGGTTAGAGCACTGGGCTTGGAATCAGGAAAACTCATCTTTATGAGTTCAAATCCAGCCTGAGACCCCTACTAGCTATGTGACCCAGGGCAAGTCACTTAACCCTGTTTGCCTCAGTTTCCTCATCTGTTAAATAAGCTGGAAAAGGAAATGACAAATCACCCCAATATATTTGCCAAGAAAACCCCAAATGGGGTCACAAAGAGTTTGATGGGACTGACAAAACTACTGAACAAGAAAGTGTTCTTTGCATTAAGAGGCAACTTGGTAGCGTAGTAGATAGCGTGCTAGGCCTGGAGTCAGGAAGCCCTGAGTTCAAATCCAGTGTCAGATACTGGCTGTGTAACTGTGAGCAAATCACTTACCCTCTGTCTGCCTCAGTTGCCTAAATTGTAAAAGAAGGGTAATGCTAGCTCTTGCCTTCCAGAGTTTTGGTGAATCATAGGTGAAATAATAATTGCCATGCTCTTAGCACGGTGCCTGGCACGTAGGATTTGATAAATGCATGTACCCTTCCCTCCCCCATTGGACCTCAGTGTGCGTTAATATGACCGATGTGGGAAGGCTCTTATGTTTTTGTACAAACAGATGATTTTTGTAATTTCATGCCAACCATGTGAGTAGTCACTTTTATTAAAGTGCTGAAGGAAAAAAAAATTCTTTTCTTTTGCAGCAGATGACCCTGTCCCACAAGCATTCCAAAATTTCTTTTCCCAACTCGGCCTCAACACGATGAAATCTGCCAACCTCTGTATTGGCCGGCCAGCGCTGCTCACCAGTGGGGCTGGACAGCAAGAGGTGAGAGTTCGTGAATTTTGCCAGTTTACTTCCTGACCTTCTGGAGGAAAGTGGAGTGTGGGGCTTAATGGCCTGTGTTTTCTTCTCCGGGTACAGGTCTGCACAGCGTGGCCTGTGGCAGGATTTCCTGGGAGGAAGGTTGGCCTAAGTGAGGGGGTTCAGAGGAACTTGGGAGTGAAGCCTGGAGATGGGGTCCTGGTGGAGCCTCTCACGGGGACCCTGGTCCCAGCTGAGAGAGTGGAGCTGGTGCTGAGGTTTGGATCGACTCTCTGAGGGTTGCTGGGGAGGGGCCTGGGACTCTTGGGGTGAATTGTGTGTGGGTTCATTGGCATGAAGGGATGAGTGCTGGTTGGCCTGGCTTTCTCCATTGCAATTTTATGATATGATCAGTGCATTTTATTTTAAAATAGATTTTTTTATTACTCCGAAGTGACAGACAGGAACATTTCTATATACAAAGATGAACAGAAAAGGAAACTCACATTATGAGTTCTCTTGATTGCTTTTAAAAAAGTTTACAGTAAATTCAGTGCATTAATTTCGAAGCTGTCTTTGCTCGTTTGTGTTTCCTTCTGAACTTTCCTCTGTGCGTTTAAAAAATACGCCAATGAATTTTTTTCCCTCTTTTTTTTGGTATCACAATTTTTTAGTATCCTTCGCCCCTCCCCCCAAAATCCCTCACTTGTTATAAATGAATGCAAGCGATGTGTTTTAACATGGCGTGTTTGTAGACAGTACTGTGGGTTATTTTGGGGAAGGGAAAAATAGCATTAGGAGGTGTCAGAGCTAGAAAGACCTTAGAAATCATCAGGGTCAGAGGTGCTTAACCTTGTCATGTTTGCCGGGACCCCCTTGGCAGGCTGGTGAAGCCTGTGGACCCATCTCAGCTAATATTTTTAAATAATTGAAGGATTTGCTAAATTTCAGTTAGAAGTTAGTAGCAATAAAGATGTGATTTTTCCTCCCATTCAAGTTCATGCACCCCAGCAAAGCTCTCCATGGGCCCAGTGTTATGAACCCTTCACCTAGTCCACTTGAGGTCCTAATGGATAAGTGGCTGGGCCTAACCTAGCCCTGATTTGTTGTATCTTAGGCAAGGGGCAGCTAGGTAGCACAGTGAATAGAGTGCAGAGCCTGGAGTCAAGGGGACCTGAGTTCAAATGAGGCCTCAGACACTGATTGGCTCAGTTACTAGCTGTGTGACCCTAGGCAAGTCGTTTAACCTTGTTTGCCTCAGTTTCCTCCTCTGTAAAATAATCTAGAGAAGGAAATAGCAAACCACTCTAGTATCTTTGCCAAGAAAACCCCAAATGAGGTCACGAAGGGTCGGACACAACTGAACACCAGAAATCTTAGGGAAATCATTTCTCTTTGGGTCTTTGTGTCTTCATCTGTCTAATGAGGGGGCTGGACTTTGATGTGCCTTCCAGTTTTCAGTCTTGTATGAATCTGGTATTTTCCAAATTTGGGATTCTGGTGCGCAGTTATAAAGGAGGCAGCTGGGGGTGCAGTGGATATGAAGTCAGGCGAACCTGAATTCAAATCCAGCCTCAGAGACTTGCTAGCTGTGTGACCCTGGGCAGGTCACTTAACCTTTGTATGCCTCAACTTCATTACCCATTAAGATGGGCATCATAATAGCCCCTACCTCCAAGGGTTGTTGTGAGGAGAAAATGAAATGATATTTGTACAGTGTTTTACAAGCCTTAAAGTTCTGTATAAACTATTATTATTAGGTGTTATGGCACTTTTGAAAGGGATATTTGAATGGGATTTGAAAGTGACAAGGTTAGTTGTCTGGGGAAACAGTTCTACCCACCCAGAGAGAAAATGAAATATGCATGGGGAAATCCCAGTGTGGAAACTCCCTCCAGTAATGCAGAATGGCAACCCCTATTTATTCACTTAGTCTTAAATACTTGGAGCCCCTGAGAGATTGAATGACTTGGTCATATAGCCAGTATCAGAGATTGGATTTGAGCCCAGGTCCTCCTAACTCCAGAGTCTACCCTGGGGACCTGACATTCTTTTGGAAGAGGCAACATGTCAAATGTAGTTAATCATGGAGGCTAGCGGCTGGACCTGTCTTTTATTAGTTTAGGCCCCTGCTACGGTCCAGGCTCTGGTGGGTCCTTTCCAAGCCAGAGAGGCCTCTTAGGTCTGTCCTCCAAGACAGCTAGGAGAGAGGAGCATCGGCACCAGTCTGGTGCATCGGCCAGGCCCAGGGGGGCTGTGGTGTGCTGTGGTGAAGGGAGGACCCTCTGCCCTTCCCTAGTGTAGCAATCAAGACGTCCTCCTTCCAATACCAATGTGTCATCCATACACTACAAATCTGTGGCTCAGTCAGCATCTCACCAGGCATTTATTAAATCCCTACTGAGTACCAGGCACTAGGCTAAACACGGGGAGGGAGGGTGCAAAGACAAAACCCCAACTTCCTTATTCTCATAGAATTTAAGTTTTAGATATGCACGTGTCAAAATTAATTAATGCAAAATGACAAGGTAGTTAAAGCTAACAGTTGGGGAATCAGGAAAGGAATCATGTAGAAGGTGATGCTTAAGCTAAGCCTTGAAGGAAGTGAGGGATTCTCTGATGTGGATGCAAGGGGAAGGAGGAACAGGCATTTATTAAGCACCTACTATATGCCAAGTGCTTTACAAACATTATCTCATTTGGTCCTGACAGCCCTGAGGTAGGTGCCATTGTCATCCCCATTTTACAGATGAGGAAACTGAGTCAGAAGGAGAGTAGGTAGCTTTTCCTGAGTCATGGGTGAGGAGCTAAGTGCATTCCAAGGATGGACCACTGCACAGACTAGAAATGGAGTGCTGTATGTGAAGACCAGAGGGAAGGCAGGTGGAGCTGGACCACAGAGTGCAGGGAGGGGAGTAACATGGGACTGGAAAGGTAGGTTGGTGCCAGGTTGTGCAGGGAGGTAAAAGTTGGAGGGGTTTTTATTTTATCTGAGAGGCGATAGGGAACCGGAAGAACAAGATGTTCAGATTCATGCTTTAGGAAAAGCTTTGGTATCTGGGTGGAGGACAGATGGGAGAGAGGAGAGACCCAGGTCTGGGACCAGGTAGGAGGCCATTGCAATAGTCCAGGTGAGAGGCACTGAGGATCTAGATATGAGGTGGGGCTGTTTGAGTGGAGAGATGAGATTATGGGGGTAAAAGTGGCAACGTTTGGTAGCTGATTGGATGTGTGGGATGAGGGAGGGTGAGGAGGCCAGGGTAATGCCAGAGGTATGGATCTAGAAGATTGGGAAATGCGAAGGTTTGGGGGCAGGAGAAGATAATGAGTTCATTTTAAAGTTAAGATGTCTATGGGACATCTGGGGGCGGGTAGGTGGAGCCGCAGATCAAGCGCCGGGCCTGGAGTTAAAATCTGGCCTCAAGAAACTAGTTATGTGACCTGGGCAAGTCACTTAACCCTGGTTTGAGAAGTCCAACAGGGAACTGGTGATTTTTTGGCCACCAAAGCTTTAGGTAGAGACTAGGATTGGATATATAGATGTATGAAACATCCGTAGAGAGATGGGAGCCAATTAAATCCATGGGAGCTGATGAGGGTGGGGAGAGAGAGAGAGACAGAGAGGGATGGAGAGAGAGAGAGAGAGGAGAGACGGGGGGAGAGAGAAAGAGGGGGAGGCAGGGAAGGAGAGTATAGAGATGACTTGAGAAAGGGTCCCAGGACAGAGCTTTGGGGATCCCCCATACCTCGGGAATATGGTATGGATGACAAGCTGGCAAAAGAGGCTGAAAAGAGTGTTCAGATAGGGAAGAGGAGGGGGTTAGAGTAGAGAGGGTCGTGAAAACCCAGAGAGTAATTCAGGAGAAGGTGGTTATTGTCATTGAATGTATCAGAGAAATCAGGAAGGATGAAAAGTGAGAAAAGACCATGGTCTTTTTTTGCTTGCCCAGGGTCACACAGGTAGTATGTGTCAAGTGTCTGAGGCTGGATTTGAACTCAGGTCCTCCTGACTCAAAGGCAGGAGTTCTATCCACTGCGCCACCCAGCTGCCCTCTATGGTCAGATTTGGTAATACCCCAAATAGGGTCACATAGAGTGGGATGTGACTGTAATGACTGAACGAGAGAAATGAATGGAAGAAATGAAAACAGTGGATGTAGACAGCCTTTTCAAGGAGCTTTGTGAAGGAGAGGAAATGAGGATGGCAGCTGGTGGGGCTGGAAGGGTCTGGTGAAGGTTCTTTTAAGGATGGAGAGCCCTGGGGGGATATGAAGGCAGTAGGGAAGGAGCAAGTAGGTAGGGCGAGGTTGAGGATAATGGGGAGGCCGTGAATGAGGAGGCATTCTGCTGAGCAGGTGGACGGGGTGGTGTGAAGGACACATTCATGCAGAGGGGTTAGCCTCGGCCGGGAGAAGGGCCACCTCACTGAAATATTCTGACAATGGGCAAGTTTGCCCACTGGAAGCATCTTCCCCCCCGGCATCGCCAAAAAAAAAAGTTTCAGCCTTGAATTTGACGAGACATGGTTGGGAGCTTGACCTGGAGAGGAACTAGGAGGTGGAAGACCTCTGGCCCCCATCTTCAAGAAGCAGTCAGACATCCTGCAAATGTTTAGCTTGGAGAGGAGACTTGGGGGGAGGGGTGGCAGCTGTCTTCGATGATTTTTGCTGTATTTGCTCTCTGTTTGCTGGAAGAGGGATTCGAGGCAGCTATGTAGATAGAGTGCTGGGCTTCAAGCCAAGAAGGCCCACGTTCAAATCTAGCTGTGTGACCCTGGGCAAGTCACTTATCTGCTCTCTGCCTCAGTTTCCTCATCTGTAAAATGGAGATAATTATAGCACCTACCTCCCAGGGCTGTTGCGGGGGTCAAAGGAGATCATACCTGTAAAGAGCTTTGCAAACCTTAAAGCGCTCTGTAAATGCTAGTGCATCTCATTAGTGGCTGTCTGACTCTGGGCAAGTCACTTGAACTCTCAGTGTTTGGGACAACTCTGAGGTTCTTCAACTTCAGAGAAGGTGCTGACCTGCATTGGTGGAGGGAGCCTCTCTTCTGAGTTTCCTGTACCAGTGAAGTAAGAGGTTCTGTCCCTATCTCTACCCCCTCCTCCTGACTGACCCACTTGTTCAGTTTTCAGTCATATCCGACACTGGGTGACCCCATTTGGAGTTTTCCTGGCAAAGATACAGGAGGGGTTTGCCAGTTCCTTCTCTGGCCCATTTAGCAGATGAAGAAACTGAGGCAAACACAGTGAGGTGACTTGACCAGGATCACCCAGCTAGTCAGTGTCAGAGGCTGGATTTGACCTCAGGAAGATGAGTCTTCCTGACTGACACCACCTAGCTGTCGGGCTGACCCGCTTATGTTTCAGGGATATCTGTACTGCCTAACGTGGGCTTGTCTCGACGTCTTACTTTTAAGCTTCTGGAAAAGGTAATACTGATTTTTTTTTTACCTTCTGTTATAGTGACAGGGATGCAGAAATTAATGAGGAAGAGCTGACTGCTTGTCTTCTGAGAAAATTAGGTGAGCAAATGCTTTGTTCTGGAACGTTTTCTTGGGTATTTAATAAAGGAGGCCTGTATGGAGCTGTTTTATTAGGCATTAGAATGGAAACTCCTAGAGGCCATGGGTTGGCTGTTTTCCTTTGGTCGCACAGTAGGCTTGTCGCTAGGGGGCGCCAGAGTGCACAGAGCGCTGGGCTTGGAATCAAGAAGACTTGCCTTCCTGAGTTCAAACCTGGCCTCAGACACTTACTAGCTGTGTGACCCTGGGCAAGTCACTTAACCCTGTTTGCCTCAGTTTCCTCATCTGTAAAATGAGCTGGAGGAGGAAATGGCAAACTACTCCAGGATCTTTGCCAGGAGAACCCCAAACGGGGCCACAAAGAGTCTGGAAATGACTGAATAACAACAAGACTTGTTGAATTGAATTTTATTGCTTCCCTAAAAATCCTGGGCTTAGGTAAATCTGCATGGAATTGTAGATAACAATAATCGTAATAACAACCACAATTATAACAATAATGATAAGAGTAATTAAAAAGAATAACAATAATGATGATAATAGCAACAGTAACAATCATTAGTATTTATATAGTGCGTTAAGGTTCGCAAAACATTTACAAGTATTATCTCATTTGATCCTCATAAGCACCCTAGGAGGTAGGTGTTATTATTTTCCCTATTTTACAGTTGGAGAAACTGAGGCAGGCAGCAGTTAAGGGACTTGCCCAGGGCCACCCAGTTAGGTGGTGTCTGAGGCTGCACTGGAACTCAGCTCTCCAGACTCTTCCTGGCTCTCTGTGCCCTCAGTTGCTGAGAATGGTTATTGCTGACATAGAATGCATGAAAGGGTTTAATGTGAACAGTCTTTAGAAACTAGAAGGTGGGCATCTCTAACCGTTTGGCTGGTGCGTTGATTCATCTCAGAGGCAGGAAGGGGCCACTGGTGATTTTGGAGAGAGGAAGGTTAAGGTTAAGTCTTAGGAAGATGACGTGTGTGTGTGTGTGTGTGTGTGTGTGTGTGTGTGTGTGTGTGTGTGTGTGTGTGTTTGGGGAGGTGGGGGTGGATCCTGGAGATAAGTAATCTCATTGGGGAGCAGTGTTTGGGGAATAGTCCAATGGCTGTGGAGTGGGAGCCAATCTCCACTACTGATTATTAACTGTGTGGCCTTGGATAAATCACTTCCTCTCCCTTGGGCCTCAGTTTCCCTATCTGTAAAATAAAGGAGCCGGGCCAGGTGGTCTCTGAGGACCCTTCCAATTATACCTGTATGATATTATGGTGAGAGGGGAAGGGTTTAGGGTGAAAATCACTTATTCTGCGTTGAAAAGCAAATACATGCAAACACACTTATTTTCTAGATGGTAAAGTCGTGTTGCCCGGCAGTGTTCTGCATTTCACTTTCTATGGCAGACCATGCCAGCTGAGAGTGACGTCCGTGAAGGGGGCCGACGGCCTCACCCTGGAAGGGGCTCCAAGGAGCTCGGCTGGTGAGAAGCAGGAGCCAGCCTCTGAGACGTCAGACCTTGAGGCCGCTGCCGGGGACTTGTCCTTAGAGCTGAGCCAGCTCAGCCTGGGAGACCCCCAGAGCGGAGTGTCCACCAGCACGCCATGTAAACCCGGAGAGGGCAGCTGTGTCCAGAAGCCGGGAGATACCTCCCTGGAGGCTGACCAGCGCCTCGGGGAAGGCGACGGCCTAGGAGAAGGCCCTGCTCTGGCCGATGGCCGTGATCCCGTCCTCGGAGAAGAGAGACTGCAGCCCCCAGCCCAAGTGGGAGCCCACCGCGGTGCCGACACCTTCTACTATCTCTCTTCCACTACAAAATTCAACTTTGTAAAGCCCCAGGCAGCCATGGCAGAGGATGACGGCCCTCGGAAAGTCACTTACGACCTCATTGGAGGTTTGACCAGCCAATTGAAAGCCATCAGAGAAATGATTGAGCTACCCTTGAAGCGGCCAGAGCTGTTCAAGAGATATGGTAGGAGCCCCTTCTTCATTTTGTTCTTGGGGTTCTAGTTATTCAACAGCTATTAAGCACCTTTGATTAATCAGTGCTGGGGAGGGAGGCTACGGAATGGTGAAATAGCCCCTGCCTCCTGGGATTCTGCTTGGGGTGGTGGGAGTGAAATTTAAGCTGATGAGCACATACAGAATCCAGAGGAAGTTATCGCCTGGGCATGGGAGGAAGACTAGCAGCTGGAAAGGCCCGTAGAATGGATCGTTCCAGGTGGGGGAGACAGCTTGTGCAGGGGCCAGAGTGGGGACGGCAAGCAAATCAGCCCGGCTGAGATGTATTAGGTAGAAAGGGGAGCGATGAGTCATCCGTCTCGTGAGGGGCATTGGAACAAGACCGCAAAGGCTAGAAATGCTAGACGGGTCAGTTTGTGTTTTCTGGTATCTTCTTGGGTAGGGGAGTGACATGATCAAAACTGTGGAATATGAGTGGCCTTCACGTTGGCAACCGTGAAGGGTGGTTTGGGAAGGAGGAAGTCTTGGGGCCATGAGACCAGTTAGTGGGGCACTAAAACCCACACTAAGGTTTCATTTGACAGTCTACTTGTTTCCTGAGGCATGGAGATCTTCTGAGAGGATCTCTTGAGCCTGGGCTGGGGTCAGTGACTAGCCCACTTCCCCAGTAGGCAGTCTTCAGCATGGGTTGGGGTTCTGCATGCTGGACATAGCCAGGGGGCCTTTGTCACATTAAGTCTGCTGTAAATTTAAGAAACAAATTCATCCAAGTCTCATAGGATTTGCAGCTGGAAGGGGCCTCTTGTTAACTACTTCATTTTACAGAAGAGGAAACTGAGGCCTGGAGAGGTCCCAATAGCTGTATGTAAGTTTTAGCTAGTATTTATTTAGCGCTTTAAAGTTTGTTACGTGCGGGGAGGGAGGTGCTATTATTATCTTCATTTTTACAGATGCACAAGATCCCAGCTAAGTAGGTGTGTAAGGCAGGATTTGAACTCAGGGCAAGGTCTCTGTCCATTGTATCACCTAGCTGCTCAAAAAAGAGACAGAAGATCGTCTTGCCCAACTCGATCATTTTACAAAGGAGGAGACTGCGTCCCAGAGAGGTTAGGCCCTCCCTGCTAGCAAATAGCAGCGAGGCTTCTGGCTGCCAAACCAGGGCTCTTGACACTAGACCTTGTTTGTAAATCCAAGCTGAACTGAACGTCCAAAAATGTCGGATGAAGCTCCTGTGAGGGAGATTGGGACGGGGGAGACGCACACAAAGGTCTGCTTTGGCTGAGTGGGTGCTGCGGGCCTTGCTTGGAATCTGCTGAAAGCATGTGGCGGGGATAGCTTCTTCCTCCCTTTCTCTTCACTGACCAACTTTAAATACAGAGTGTGAAATAGTCAGCTGATGGATGATCGGTCCACCAATCAACATTTATTAAGCACTGACTGTATACAGGGCACTGGAGATATCATGAAAGGCAAGACCAGGAATTTACTCCCCAGTGGAGGAGACAACATGTACATAAAATGGGTGAGACCCCTTTGGGGTAGAGGATGTGTCACTGTAGAAGGGAAGGCTCTACCAATGGAGGGGAGGACGGGCAAGGGTCTCTGGCTGAGTGGAGGGGACTCCACTGGAGAGTTCTGGGGGACCTGAGAGAGCTGGAGGTCTTCCCATGGCCCGGGCTTGTACTTGGGTGTCTTATGTTGTAGCCAAAGTGATGTTGCAGCTACCTGGGGTCAGAAGGGAGTAAGTTCTGGGGGTGGTGACCCTTCACTGCTCACCTGCCCATAGCCTGCCTCCCCCTCGGGCCTTACCAGCCTTTGTGTCTTGGGATGTGTCCTTCTGGAAGATTGGAGTGCTTGGTGAAGTTTCAGGATGTGGACTGCACCACATTCTCTCTTCCTTTCTCAAGGTATCGCTCCCCCCAGAGGAGTGCTACTGTACGGCCCTCCCGGAACGGGGAAGACTGTGATCGCCAGGGCCATCGCCAATGAAGTGGGAGCCCACCTTTCCGTCATCAATGGTCCTGAAGTCATAAGCAAGTAGGTTCATTTTCTTTTTCTTTTTCTCTTTTTTTTTTGGTGAAGCAATCAGGGTTAAATGACTTGCCCTGGGTCACCCAGCTAGTAAGTATCAAGTGTCTGAGGCCGGATTGGAACTCAGGTCCTCCTGACTCCAAGGCTGGAGCTCTATCCACTGCACCACCTAGCTGTCGCCAAGTAGGTTCATTATCAAGGAGCCCACCAAGAATCCCTTTGTTGGATTTTATTGAGAAAGGTATTTGGTAAGACAGCGTTATTCTGAGAAGGCTGATGTTTTCACTGACAGCCTCTAATTTGTGATCCTAAAACTTCAGTAGTATTATCCCCACACTTAGTTGCTGTGAGAAGTCACTGAGGCAGTCTCAGCACTGAGCCTGTTCTCTCCTGGCTCTCCTCCTCCCTCGCTGAGCGCTTCTTCTGTCTCCTTGCCTGGGTCCTCCTTCAGATCTTGCCTCTAACCCTCAGGGCTCTGGCCTGGGCACTCTTCTCTTCTTCCTCCGTACGACTTCACTTGGGGACCTATTAATGACCATTTCTACGCTGATGATTTTCATAGCTACCTTTCCTGCCTCAGTCTCTCATCTCTGACTGCCTTTCAGGCCTTTCCAGCTGGACGTCCGGTAGACGTTTTACACTCAGCAAGTCCAAAACTGAGCTCGTGCTCTTTCCCCCAAACCCTCTCTGCCTTCTCCCTTCCCTGTCACTGTGGAGAACAACTCAGGCTCCCAGCCTGGGGGTCAACCTGGATCCCTCACTGTCTCTCACCCTACATCCAAACTGTTACCCAGGCTGCTGATTTCACCTTTGCACCACCTCTCTAGCACACCCCTTTCTCTCCTCTGACCCTGCCCCCACCCTGGTCCAGGCCCTCCTCACTTCCTGCCTGCCTGCCTCATTTCTCTCCCCACTCCCCTCCATCCTCCATCAGCCACCAGAGTGATTTTCCTAAAGCCCAGGCCCGACCATTTCCTCCAGGACCAAACACGAAATGCTCTGCTTGGCATTCAAAGCCCTTCATAGCCTAGACCCCTGCTACCTTCCCAGGCTTCTTACACCTGACTCTCTGACACACAGTGTTTGGTCTAGTGACTATGGTCTCCTGGCTGTTTCTCCCATAAGACCCTCCATCTCTCAGCTCCAGGTATTTTCTCTGGCTGTCCCCCATGCCTGGAACACAGTCCCCCCTCTGCTCCAGCTACTGACCTCCCTGGCTTCCATTAAGCCACAGTAAAATCCCACCTCCTACAGGAAGCCTTCCCTCTGTTCATTATTTCCTGTTTATACTGCTTATAGCTTGTTTCTACATCTTTGTTATGGTCTCCCCCATTAGATCACAAGCTCCTTGAAGGCAGGGACTGTCTTTGACCTTTCTTTGTATCCCTGGCGCTAAGCACAGTGCTTGGCACATAGTAGGTGCTTTGTAAATGTTATTGACCGACTGACTGCCCAGTTTAGAATTTGCTGTGGGAAGCTGACTTTCTTGCTGTCCCTCATGCATGCTCTCTTTTCTCCCACCTTCAGCCTTTCCCCTCATCATCTACCACGCACCTCTACCTCTTAGACTCCGTAGTTTCTTAGAAAACTCAGCATATGTGCTGCCCTCCTACTCAAGACCTTTCCTGCTCCCTCCTGCTGGCTAATGCCTTCCTCCAGAACATTGTTCTGTTGAATTCTGGTTCACTTTCTTCTGGACCCATGGAGGCTGCGTCACCCTGGGCAAGTCACTTAACATCTCACTGCTCTGGACGACTCTCAAAGATTCTAAGTTGCAGAGGAGGTGCCATTCTGCCTTGGTAGGGGAATATCTTCACCATGGGTCCCATGCCTATTCCTCTCCTTCTATGGAACAGTAAGCCCAGAGGACAGTTTTGAAAAATTATCTGAAATGTCTTGAAAATTTTTGAGAAGGCAAGCTATTTTACCACTCAAAGACTTCTTTTCCCCTAAACCCTTAGCTTGTAAAACAAGGCAAGTTTGACTTTCAGTGGATTTTCTTTATTGTAGGTTTTACGGCGCTTCGGAAGCAAGACTGCGGCAGATCTTTGCAGAAGCCACTTTGAGGTACCTGCCTCCCTCTTGGGAGAGTCCCGTGCTAGAGGTATTCTGTGGCGCTAGCCAGTCTCCTCCTCCAAGGCTGCTTTCTGTGCCCTGTCCCCTCCTTGCCATCCCAAGGAAGGCTGGGATGGGTTGATGACTAACGAAAGTTCCTGCTTCGTTTTAGGCAGCCCTCGATTATTTTTATTGACGAGCTGGATGCCCTTTGTCCAAAGAGAGAAGGGTCTGAGAATGAGGTCGAAAAGAGAGTTGTGGCTTCTCTCTTAACTCTGATGGACGGTATCGGTTCTGTAAGTAGAACACAGACCTGGAACAGATGCAGTGTGTGTGTGCCTGTATGTGCTTATATGTGTGTGAATGTGTGTTTGTGTGTGCATGTGTGTGTTTGTGTGAGAGGGTGTCAGCAGGGACATAAGCTGTTTGTTTTTAAAGTGGTCTTAGGATCATTGTTGTAGAACTGTAGCAGTCTGAAGATCTTCTAGTCTTAACCTCTCATTTTACAGATGGGGAAACTGAAACCAGGATGTGTCAGAGGTAGCACTTGCCCCACGGTCTGTCTTCCTGGGCCCAAGGCCAGCTTTCTATCCAATTCTTCTTCTCCAACCTCAAGAAAGTCTTCACGCATGTTTTGTAGGATACTAGATTTAGAACTCTAACAGACTTTTTGGGGTCATCTAACACCTTCATTTTACAAATGGGAAAATTGAGACTGAGAGAGCTGTTGTGACCTGCTCAGGGTCAACCAGGCCGCAAGTGGCAGACTGGCTTTTGAGCCCACGTCCTTTGATCCCCAGTCCAGGGCTCTTCTCACTGTGTGTCCCTGCCTCCAAATGTGCCTCATTTGGAGACGGAACTCAGAGACCATTTGGCCTGACTCAACCTTGGACAATCGCTTGCTTAACGAGCATCCAGTTAGTAAGCGTGCCAGGCACTGGACAAATATGTGAAACCATCCCTGCCCTCAGGGAGCTGACACTATCTATCTATCGAGTAGGGACTGGACGGGTAGTTTTGATGGTAGAGGAACTGGCAGGTGAGAAAGCACTGCCAATTGAGACCTGCTCAGACGCATGTAGAGTGTCAGGACTCTCAAGGAGTGTGTGCTGTATTCTAGTGACAGGAGGCAGCTACGGGAGTTTGTTCATCAGGGAAGTGACAGGGTCAGGCTTGCACTGTAGGGAAGTGATTTTGCCGGTTGTTTGGAGGGTGGAAAGGGTGGGGAGGCAGTTGGGGGCTGTTGTGATAATCGAGGCAAGAGATGATGAGGGCCAGGATGAATGGGGATGGTGGTTGTGTGAGTGGAGAGAATGGACAGGTACAGCAGCTTTTCATAGTTTGCAGTGACAGCACTTGGCTGCTGTTAGCTATGTGGGGTAAGGAAGGGAGGGCAGAGCGAGTTACTGAAACAGACCTTAATGCATGCTGGGTCTTTGAGAGAAGGCCAGGAAAGAGCTTATGTGAGGAGGTCGGGTGAGGGACTGAGCAGATTTACTCCCTAGAAGAATATGAAGTTGATATTTGTCTCATTTTCTTTCCTAGGAGGGGAGTGAGGGGCGAGTTTTGGTCATTGGGGCCACGAACCGCCCTCATGCCTTGGATTCAGCTCTCCGAAGGCCAGGCCGCTTTGATAAGGAGATTGAAATTGGGGTCCCTAATGCCCAGGACCGCTTGGACATCCTCCAGAAGCTGCTCAGGGGGGTCCCACACAGCCTCCGAGAGGCAGAGTTGATCCAGCTTGCAAACAGTGCTCATGGCTATGTGGGAGCTGACCTGAAGGCCTTGTGTAATGAAGCAGGTGAGGCTTGTCTGCCTGTCCAACTAGAGTGGGAAAGTGACTGTAGTGACCTAGGGGACTCCAGAGGCCTTGTGATCTCAGACAGACTTGTCTGTCTGTCCCCCTGGAGCAGCAAAGTGACCATAGTAACCCAGGGGACTTCAGAGGCCCTGTGATCTTAGACAGACTTGTCTGTCTGTCCCCCTGGAGCAGGAAAGTGACTGTAGTAACCCAGGAGATTCCACAGGCCTTGTGATCGACCTTGTGGTCCAGGCCAGGCTGACAACACATGTGTAAGACGGAAAGAAATGGGGTGAGCAGGGGCTGGGTAGGGTCAGCATCCGGCCACCTTGGGGGTTGCTCATAGGTCCCAGGCACTTTCCCGTCCCCTCCTAAGCACCAGCATAGACTTAGCCTGGCTTAGTCGGTATCCAAAGCGTTTCTCATGGAATGTTCAGGTCTGTGGTAGTCTGTATGCTGGATATAAAGCTAGGAGGCCATCGAGGCTGACCCGCACATTTACAAGAGAGGAAACTGAAGTTGATGGAGGTCGGGTCCCTCATCCAGGGCCACCCAGGCAATAAATATCAGAAGGTGGTCCTGAATCTGACTCTTCCGACTTTAGAGGCTGTGAATATTGGAGGCAGGATTTGAATCCAGCTCTATCCAGAGCTGTTTTTCTCCTTCTCTCCTATGCAGCCAGGAGTGGTCCTGCTTGGGGAAAGTGGGGCAGCTTGAAATTTGGCCCTGATGATTTGCATGGTCTGTTTAGTTAAAAGAAGTTCGTTGGATTATCTTTTTTTACTTTTACTATTTACTAAAAGTAATTTACTATTACTTTTAAAACAGGTGCGTTGTTCCTTCTGAGACAGGGCATACTTCGCCATGAACTTGTTTTTAGAAAATATATATATATATATATTTGAGACTGTGTTTTACCAAAAGTGATTCCCTTGTCTTCCCATGTAGTTTATGCTTTGACGAATCTGCCTCTGAGAAGGGTGCAGAGGCTTCACTGGTCCCTTGGACCAGGGTAGAGATTTTCCCTCCTGTCCCAAATTCTTCCCTCTTGTCATCATTCATGTTTCCCCTGGACGTGTCAGCAGATTCTGTGTCCTATAGGAAATGTGAATGGCCAGGGATCTGGAATGCCGGGAAAACGCAAACAAACCAGAGGGAATTGTCCACCATAGCAGACTATCTGTCTCTTGTCCTCTTCTGCTCTCTGGTGGGAGCATCTGGACATTGCAGCCCTGGAAAACAGGGGCTTCGTAGGCATGTGGTTATAAAGCATGGTGGGGGGAGATCTGTTAAAGCAGGAGAGACCTCAGGTGTTCTAGTCTAACCCCTCATTTTACAGGTGAAGAAACTGAGGCCCAGAGATGGAAAGAGACTTGCTCGAGGTCGCACCCTTAGTAAATGTCATGGGAATTCAAGCTTGTCAGAACAAATATTGTACTTTACATGTGTTAAATTTCCCCTAGTCCAAAAATCCTGGAGGCCCTATAATGTCGTGGATAGAGTGCTAGGCATGGAATCAGGAATAAATGAATGAGTGAAAAAGCATTTATTAAGCACTTACTGTGTGCTGGCCACTATGCTTAGGGTTGGGGGTATAAATATAAAACTAGAGTGTGCCTGCCTTCAGGAACTTCTGTTCTAAGAGGGGAAATACTACATCTAGGAGAATGACAGGCAGGAAGCTCTGCGGTCAGATCCTTTCTCTGACACTTCCAGCTCTGTGGCTGCAGACAAGTCACTTCAGTTAATGCCCTGTAGCATTAATTAAGACACAGGTTTTACTCTGCCTTGTTGGGTTTTCCACACTGGGACTTCCAGAGGCTTCCAGGATGGCAGATCTTAGAAGATGTGTCATATTTTTCTACCATTTCTAGCCTTTTTCCTCTCTCCTCACTGGGCTGCTAGTATCATCACCATCTTTGTGAAAATTATCCCTCACATTTATATAGCCTTAAACACACTCTCTCTTCCCACACATATGTGTGTGTGTGTGTATAATATATATGCATGCATACATACATACGTGTATACATATGTGCACACACACATAGCCATTCACTTCACAGGTACTATTATTGTTCCCATTTTGCAGATGAGAAAAGTTGTCCAGGGTCACACAGATATCAGTTGTATGAGACAGCTTTTGAATTCAGGTCTTCCTGACTCCAAGTATGAGATAAATGACAGAAATGCACACATTGCACCTTGATGGAAAAAAGAGGCAGCTCGGTGGTAGCGTGGATAGACCTGAGTTCAAATCTGGCCTTAAACACTTACCAGTGGGTGATGGTAGGCAAGTCACCTAACATCTGTTTGCCTCAGAAACACACCAATATTTTTTAAAAAGTGAGAGGGCATTTTGCATTCACTCATTAAATCTCTATCTCCGTTAGAGTCTGGGCAGATGTGATAATCAGCCTTCCTCATCTTCCTGATGGGAATGGTGGCCTTTCTGCTTAGGATGAGGGGCAGGCTGGGGACTTCTCCAGGAAGAGAGACTCTTGGTGGGTCCCTGCCTACCAAAATGGAGCTGGGAGGAGGGTTTCCAAAGTGGGTCCTCTCCCTTGAACTATGGCATCTGTCCTGTTGGCTGAGCCTGTGCGCCACCGTGTGGCCGTATGTGGTAACTACACCTAACTCAGCAGACTTTGTTCAGGCTGAAACCATCAGAGACTTTTCTGGTGTAGATGCTGAAAAAATCAGAATAGATAAGATCAAAATAATAAACTCTCAGATTTGGAAGGGGCATCGATATTAGTTAATCTCTTCTAAAACATCCATGTCAAGTGGTCACCCAGCTTCATCTTCTTGGGCAGCTCATTCCACTATCAGAGAAATAGTAATGATGATGATGATGGCGATGATAGTGATGATGGTGATGAGGATAATGGTGATGAGGATGATGAGGATGATGAAGGTGATGATGGTGATGATGGTGGTGATGATGGTGAGGATGATGAAGGTGATGATAGTGATGATGGTGGTGATGATGGTGATAATGATGAAGGTGATGATAGTGATGATGGTGGTGATAATGATGAAGGTGATGATAGTGATGATGGTGGTGATGATGGTGATAATGATGAAGGTGGTGATGGTGGTGATGATGATGAAGGTGATGATAGTGATGATGGTGGTGATGATGATGAAGGTGATGATAGTGATGATGGTGGTGATGATGGTGATAATGATGAAGGTGATGATAGTGATGATGGTGAGGATGATGAAGGTGATGATAGTGATGATGGTGGTGATGATGATGAAGGTGATGATAGTGATGATGGTGGTGATGATGGTGATAATGATGAAGGTGATGATAGTGATGATGGTGGTGATGATGGTGATAATGATGAAGGTGATGATGGTGGTGATGGTGGTGATGATGATGAAGGTGATGATAGTGATGATGGTGGTGATGATGGTGATGATGGTGATGATGGTGATGGTGGTGATAGTGACGATGGTGATGATGATGATGAGGGTGATGATAGTGATGATGGTGATGATGGTGATGATGATGATGGTGGTGATAGTGACGATGGTGATGATGCTGATGATGAAGGTGATGATAGTGATGATGGTGGTGATGATGGTGATGATGATGATGGTGGTGATAGTGACGATGGTGATGATGCTGATGATGAAGGTGATGATAGTGATGATGGTGGTGATGATGGTGATGATGATGATGGTGGTGATGGTGGTGATGATGATGAGGATGATGAAGGTGATGATAGTGATGATGGTGGTGATGATGGTGATGATGGTGATGATGATGATGGTGGTGATAGTGACGATGGTGGTGATGCTGATGATGAAGGTGATGATAGTGATGTGGTGATGATGAAGATAATTATTCTTCCTCTCCTCTCTCCCTCTCCGTCCCTTGTCCCCCATCTCACACGTAAGTGCTGCTGTCACCCAGCTCTAGGTCGCTCCTCAGGGCTTCTTCCCTTTCAGGTGTGGTGGATCGCAGTTGTATGTCTGTTCACTGGCAATCCAGCTACTGCTCAAGGGGCTGATCTCTCTGTCCTCTCTGGGTAGGGCTGCGTGCGTGGCGGCGAGTCCAGAGGCAGCTGCCTGACCTTCCTGCCGGCGAGGGGGCAGATGCGGTGAAGGTGACTCTCAGCGATTTCCTGCAGGCCACGAATGACGTCCGGCCCAGTGCCATGAGGGAGGTGGCCATCGACGTCCCCAGTGTAAGTCCCAGCCTAGGCTGCATCATGTTCTGGTTACTACCTGTCCCATCTTTGTTCCAGTCAAACTGTCCTTAGCTTCTGTGTCCCACCTCACTGCCTTTGCCCATCCCTCCTCATTTCTTCTGCTTGGAACCTCTTGCTCTAATGGGGGAAACGATGTCAAAGAACTACACACCACACACACACACACACACACACACACACACACACACACGAGGTGGATTGGCCATAATTAACAGAGGGAGGCTTTCGGGCTGAGGGCTGGGAAAGGCTTCCTGTGAGCTGAGGAGGCCAAGAGGTGGAGAGCATTCCAGGCAGGGAGACGGCCAGAGAGAAGACACGGAGTCAAGATGGCGCCAGGGTCTGTGGCGCTGTGATAGAGAGGGCGCGGAGCGGGAGTGCAGGACGAGGGACTGGAGAGGTAGGAAAGGACCAGCTCAGGGAGGGCTGTAAACACCCAATGGAGGGTGTTCCCTTTGCTCCTGATGGCAGTAGGGAGCCATGGGAATTTATTGGAAGTGTGGGGAGAGGTCTGACGTGGCCAATCCTGCCCTTTGAGAAGGGGAACTTGATAGCTGAGAAGAGGATGGATTGGGGTGGGGAGAGCCTCGGGGCAGGGTCAGCGAGCATTTATGAAATGCTTGCTGTATACTGGCTGTTGTTCTAAATGCCTGGTATACAGTACTAAAATCAGGAAGGCTTAACTTCCATTTCTGCCTCTGACTTGTTGACTGACTGTCCTCAGAAATTATTTATTTTTGCCATAAATATACACACACACATGCACACGTATGTATATATAGTGCATATATTTGTGTGTACGTACATACATACGTGTGTGTGTGTCTATTTATAATTACATTTGTGTGCTTGTTTTGATTCAGTAGAATGTAAGCTTCCTGAGGGCAGAGACTCTTTCATTTCAGTCCCCTTGCCCAGTACTTAAATGACTTCAATTAAAGATGAATTGAGGACAGCTGTGTGGTACAGTGGATAGAACGCTGGGCTTGGAGTCAGGAGGACCTGAGTTCAAATCTGGTGTCAGACACATACTACCTGGGCAAGTCACTCAACCCTGTTTGCCTCAGTTTTCTCTTCTGTAAAATGAGCTGGAGAATAAAATGGCAAACCACTTTAGTATCTTTGCCAAGAAAGTCCCCGAAAAGGGTCATGAAGAGTTGGACACGACTGAAACAACTGAACAAGAAGATGAATTGAAGACTGGGAAGAAACTGAGGCTTTGGGACAGATGTCCCCCAGGTCAGTCCTCCGTATTGGAAAGGCCTCTTTTACCTCCCAGTTACAAGTCAGTCAATCAGCTATTGAATTGTGTGCTTTCATTGAGCTCTTTTCCACGCGTTGGTTGGCGTTGTTTTTATTGGGACGCCAACAAGCATAGAGTGGAAAGACTGGAGTTTAAATCCTCATTCACCTACTTTATACTTGCACAACCTTGGACAAGGCACATTCCTTCTCTCGAGAGACCCCTTGGTACAATGGAAGGCGTCTTAGATTTGGAGCGACCCGGGGACGCTCTCTGGATGATGCACTTGGCCCTCTGCACAGAGTTGATGTAGCCTGTGAGCCAAGTACAGTATTGTGTTGGGGGTAAGGAGGCTTTAGCACATGAACAGCGGTGGCTCGTATGCCAAAAAGTGCCTTGTCAGGGAAACGTGAAAGTCCAAGCAGAGAAGAGGATTAACACATGCGAAATTAGTGGTCTCCCATGGGCCACTGAGAACTTTCATGGCTGGTAAAGAATGGGACTGAGAGATAGGGAAAGCAGCTGGTAGATGTGCGGACACCAAAATGGGACCCATGGCATCCCGTGGAAGGACTCCAGTGAGGCCAGGGACGAGACTGTATTGGTGAGAAGATAGCCTGGTGTACTGTCGATCTTCAGGGATGCTGGGAAGCCCCCACCAGTGAGATTATTTCATGAAACCCTCTGAGCCTCTAACCAACATTTAGAAGGGACTCACGTGGATGAAGAGTTCATCGAAGTATTTTGAGATTTCATTGTGTGTGTGCGTGCGTGCGTGTGTGTATGTGTGTGTGTGTTGATTTAGCAAGAGAAAGCCTGTCACTCTTTCCACCACCAAAGGATTGTGTGTCCATTGGGCTCTTCCAAGGGAACAGTAAGTCCTCCTCAGTACACACACCATCCTCAGCTGGGGAGCCGTCACGTCACTGCCCACACTTTTCCCTGCAGTCCGTGCCTCGCGATGTTATTTTTAAATGAATGATGGGCGTGTCTCTTTGGTCACCAGAATGGAACTGTCAGGGTGGACCGTTTATTAATGCTGGCACACTCCTATTTCCTTTGTGGCTTTTTGAGAAAAGTAACAGGAAGGTTACCAGGCCCAGAAATGCTGGCAGAAAAGGAAGACTGGCTGTGAGGAGGAGGATGGGAGAATCAGCTTTTCTTGTGGCTGACTCAGTGCATGACACATAGTGGGCGTTTAATAATATTTTTTGAATGAATTGGAGTGAAGAAGATGAATGAAGCTGGCAGGGGAGGAGACAGGAAGTAGCAGACAGAGCCAAGACCTGGCTTTGAATTCTTACTCAGACACTGCAGAGCTACGGGACTCTGGGGAAGACCCTTAATTTCTCTTAGCCTCAATTTCCTCATCTTTAAAATGGGAATGAGAATATCACCTCCATCATAGAGTTGTGATCAAATGAAATAGTGTGTGAGGTGCTTCTAAAACCTTAAAATGCTACACAAATATTAGGTATTAATAAATAATAATGCATATTTCACAATTCTGTTAATGTTAACATTTATAGAGCACTTCTCTCAGAATAGCCTTTGTGAGGTGAAGAGGGGTGTGAGCGTTCTTATTCCTAATTTCCAGATGAGGAAACTGAGACCCTGTCCATGGTTGTATGATTAGTAAATTTTGGCATTGGTCAGGATTTGAACTCGGGTCTTCTGACCCTTTAGTCCATTTCTAGTAGACCATGGTTCCCACATGCTTAATCAGTTTGAGAGGCATAGATTCTGTTTGAATCCACGTTCTTCCTGTGAGTTCTATGACCCAAGATGCATTGAGAAGTGGCAAGAACCCTTTGATCATATTTTGACCAGTAGTACACATCTGAACATAAATATTTTGGGAGCATTTGGTCTTGGGGCCTCAGGGGGAACCCCAAGGTTTCTCTTTATTGGGAGAGTCCACAGAGTTCTGGGGAAACGTGTCCAATCTTGGTCTAGGCCAGGTTGGGACGGCTTTTTGGTGGGAGCATATCTCTCCTCTTGCCCTCTGGAATCATTCCCAACAACTAATGGATCATGAAACAACCCTTTCCAAGGTCCTGTGCTCAACTCTGGGGCTGTAGATAACAGATGGAGACAGTTTTCCTCGTAGGGAAGGTTTGCCCGTTATACACCAGCATTGGTTTTCAGTAGCAAATAGTGTGTCCACTTCATTCCAAACAATCGGAGGAGAATCCTATAAAAGAAGTCTCTTGAACAGCTGAACCCACAGGATGATGCCTGCGGTGTGGAGCAGGGGTGAAGGGGATATGCTGGGGTTGGAACAGATATTTCACCTATCCCCCATTCTTGGCACACCAGCTTGGCTCGGGCTCGGTGTCGCTGGTCTTGGTCCAGTGACTGTGTTCAAGTCACTAAATGCTATACTGTGGAAAGCAGCCCATCCAAGAGCCAGGGGCAGAAACTGGCACCACTGACCCAAATGCGTTTGGATAACTACAGGAGAGTGTCAGAAAACGTGGACCTTTGGCCTCAGCAGTGAAAGACTAAGTCAGTGTTCAGCCAGCCAGTCAATCAGTGAGCATGTATTAAGCGCCTACTATGTGCCAGGATACAAGAACCAGCAAAAGGCCGTCCCTGCCCTCAAGGAGCTTACAATCGAATGGGCACAAACAAATATGCAGAATAAATAGGAAGTGATTAACAGAGGGGAGATGCTAGAACTAAGAGGGGTTGGGAAAGGTTTCGTGCAGATGATGGGAGTTTAGTTGGGCCTTGTAGCCGTGGAGCCCAAGCTCAGTTTCCTTGGCTGGCCCAGTGAGAAAGGGGCTGCCTTGGCGAATGATGGGTTCTCCCTTCTTAGAGGCATTCGAGCAGAGGCTGAGCAGGCCAGCCGACAGAAGGGAGTCTTGATCCGGTACAGAATGGACTAGATGGTCCGTGCTTCTCGCTTGCCCTGTGGTGTGCTCCGATTAGACTGCACCCAGAATTCTCATCAGGTGTCATTTCTAGGAAGGGCATTGGAAGACTTGAAGTTTTTCAGAGGATGCAGCGCCAGGATGCTGAGGGTCTTGAGAATCATGAGAGACTTCATCCCTGAGGCCAGGAATGCCCCTTGATATGTGTTGGAGCTCTGACCATCTGGTAGATCAGCAAGGACACTGGTTCTTGATCCACTGGGTTTGGCTTCAAACCCCCCCTCTGACCCTATCTGTGTGACCTTTGGCAGATTTTTGGTCTTCTCTGGTCCTCAGTTTTCTCAATAATAATATGAGGGGCTTGGACTGGGCAGTTGCTGGGGCCCTTTCCAACCCTAAATCTGCAATCCTACAGTCCATTGGTGTTATTAAACTTATCTTAGCTGTCCCAAGAAAGAGCTCTCTTGTTAATTGAGCTCATGAAAGACTTGCTCAATTTTCTGTTGATGCTGTATTTATAATCCATGCCCTTGTGCCATTTTTCTTTGGGGATTTCATGAGTTGGCAGCTGTCCATGGTGCCTGCAGTGCTACCTGTGAGCTCTGACATGATGAGCACGTTTCTGTAGTCAGTTGTAAGAGGAAAAAAAGTCCTGTGGTGGCAGCATTGCTGTAGGCAGACTGCTTTTTCTTCCCTCAGTATTTCCTGGCAAGTGAGTCTACAAGAAGGAATAGCGTGTCAAGTCATCTGAGTGATTTATGCCCAGGAGTTTTCAGGGGTGGAAGCCCAGTTAAGACCTGCTTCAACCAAGTGGGAGGTGACAGTGCCTGTTTTTCTCTTCCTTTTGAGGAATGGTTTCA